GAATGTGATGCCGGCGGGGAGGTTCCCTGCACAGGAACGCCACCTGGGCTGGGCGCACGGCCTCCTCCTGGGAGGAGGGTTGCCCTCTAGGATGCCGATCCGACCCTGGAGGCACACACACCTCAGTAGGCTCTTCACGTATAACCCTTCTGTGCCCCGGGCAATGCTAGTCCTCGGTGCAGGGGATCTGGTCTGCAGGTCCGACCTCTGGGTCCCAGATTTCAAACTGTATCCCCACCAGGGAGAGGATTTCCGGTCCCAATTCACCCACAGGGAGCCCAAGCTGGGTCTATGTCTCTCTGCCTCTGAGTCGGCACCGTTCTCCTGGGAGTACCGTGCCAGAAACACCTGGGAGAGCTGGCGGGTATGGAGCTCACAGTCTGAGTTCCCCTAAGTCAGCTGTAGTGTCCCAAAAGGGAAGGTCCCGTTCCCTGGATGTGCCTCTGGCTGGTGGTTGTATAGTCTCTCTGGGCAGCCGCGGGTAGGGTCGGCGGCGAAGAGGAGGATGCAATATGGCGCCTGCTGCGCGGCTCGGGTCTGTGCACACGGAGGTGCCCGGAGGAAGTTGGGAACCTGGTGCCACGTCTGCTACAATCTTACCACTGGCTGTTGGCCGTCGTCTCTGGGCAGGTGTCCGCAGGTCTCTCCACCCGCTGGGGAGCCCTCCAGCAGTCCCAAATGCAGGGGAGGGGAAATAGCAAATCCACCTACCCTTGCCTCTGGTCTCTGGGCTGCTCCGGTGGTCTCAGCCTCCATTTCTCCACAGCCTCTTCCCGTGGAGTCTCCCGGGGTGTCAAGTACCCCTCCTTCCAGCCCTCGTCCGCTGTATGCCCGTCTTCTTGCTTCTTTTTTCTATTTTCTGCTAGAATCTGTCTTTTCTGCAGAGACACTCTGGCGGTGTTTCTCGTCCACCATCTTGCTCCACCCCTCCTAAATTTATTTTATATATTCAAATAATCACCCTGTTACAAAAATTTCAAGCTGTAACTTTTCCCTGATGAATATATGGAATACTTTCAATGTGTGCTTTACCAAGACTCTATTTAGAATAGCTGATGTTCATAAGTTATGAACAGCCTGAAATTCTCATTTGTTGTATAGTTATTTTTGGGTTTGGGGATCAAGATCTTATTTGTCTCATCAAGGTAGACAGCATACTATCCTTTTCTACATTTTGAAATAGTATATGATTAACTTTCCTAGAAACAGCTGGAAAAAAATCATCAGGGTCTATTTGTAATATAGAGAGATGTGGAATTTCTTAGTAACATATTCCTATAGTATTCCTTTATTTTATTTTTTAATTACTTCATATTACGGGGTACAGATATTGTTAGGGTTACATAACTTGCCCCTTTCCCCCCTACTCCACCCAACTAAGCCAGAGCTTCTAGCGTGTCCAGCCTCCATGTGGTGTGCACCAAACCCACCGTGTAAGTACATACCCTTTCCCCCCTCCCGCCCCCCTTCCCCCTCCCCACTTCCCAGTTACAGATTTTTTTCAGACATTTTGGTTACAATGTATATCTTTACCTCTCTCTAAAAAGTGATAGAGGTGATCCCTTCCCCCCCACAATGCTCGACACTTCCTTAAGATGTGGGTCTCCCCCGCCAAATCCCTGTTGAACATTACCGGTTTTTGAGCACCATAGTTTTAGTCAATCAGTACCAATTTGATGGTGAGTAGATGTGGGGCCCATTTTCCAGATCTTGTGTCATCTCGCTTTGTATTACGGGCTTAAGCTTAATCCAGGATAGCATAAACGGTACTAGCTCACTGTCGTTTCTTAGGATTGAGTAATATTCCATTGTGAGCATATACCACCTTTTAGTTATCCACTCATGAACTGACAGGCACTTAGGTAGTTTCCATGCGCTTGCAATAGTGAATTGTGCTACCATAATTATTCGGGTGCCAATGTCTTTATAATAGAGAGACTTATGTTCTTTTGGGTAGATGCCCAACAATGCTATTGCTGGGTCAAATCGTATTTCTATTTCTAGCTGTTTCAGGTATCTCCAAATTCTTTTCCACAAAAGTTGCACTAATTTGCAGTCCCATCAGCAGTGTAAGAGTGTTCCTGTCTCTCTGCTTGCTCGCCAGCACTTATGATTTATTCCTATTCTCAAGCTGTACTGTCTGATATGGCTATATTCATTTAAATTTAATTAAAACTAAATAAAAATTTTATTTGCTTAATTTCACTAGTCACATTTCAATTGTTCAATAGCCATATTGGCTACCATATTGAACAGCACAGATATAGAGCATTTCCATCATCACAGAAAGTTCTATTGGGCATTGCTGTCTTAGAGCAAGTTTGTATAGCAGGTATAGGTGAGGTTGGTTTGAAATCAGAAGAACTGGATTTGAGTCTCAAATCCAGTTTTCCCTATTTCTGCGACTTATGATAACTCCCAATTTCTTTGATCCTCACTTGCCTTATCTATAAAAACTGTGCTATTACTTCCCTATCCATTTTACAAGATTGTTGGGAAGAACAAAAAAGACGTCATATTAGAAACTAATTTGAAAACTATAAAATACATTTACAAGATAGAGTTCTAAGTTTGGAGGGATATTTGATTATAGTGCAAATTAGTCTCTTCATACAAAATGGGGATATTAACAATACCCACTTCCATATGTAAGAATGTTTAGATCCTCCCCCAGCCAGTGAAGCTCTTGTTGATGTGTCATTTGTCTCCTTTGTGTCTGCAAGAAGTTATAATTCACCAGGGAAGATGGAATTAACTCAAGAGACCTTGGATGTCTGCTTGCTGCCTGTTTCTTCCAAGGAGCAGGGTGAAGGTTGCCGAACTGTCCCCCTGGCTGGACATGTGGGGTTTGACAGCTTGCCTGACCAGCTGGTGAATAAGTCAGTCAGCCAGGGCTTCTGCTTCAACATCCTGTGCGTGGGAGAGACTGGTTTGGGCAAGTCCACCCTCATGGACACCCTGTTCAACACAAAGTTTGAAGGGGAGCCAGCCACCCACACACAGCCAGGTGTCCAGCTTCGGTCCAATACCTATGACCTCCAAGAGAGCAATGTGGGGCTAAAGCTCATGATCGTTAGCACGGTGGGCTTTGGGGACCAGATCAACAAGGAGGACAGCTATAAGCCCATTGTGGAATTCATCGATGCACAATTCGAGGCCTACCTGCAGGAGGAGCTGAAGATCCGAAGAGTGCTGCACACCTACTATGACTCCCGAATCCACGCCTGCTTGTATTTCATCGCCCCAACGGGTCATTCCCTGAAGTCTCTGGACCTAGTGACAATGAAGAAGCTTGACAGTAAGGTGAACATCATCCCCATCATTGCCAAATCAGATACCATTTCTAAGAGTGAGCTAACGAAGTTCAAACTCAAAATCACCAGCGAGCTTGTCAGCAACGGGGTCCAGATCTATCAGTTCCCTACAGATGACGAGTCGGTGGCAGAGATCAACAGAACCATGAATGCTCACCTGCCGTTTGCTGTCATTGGCAGCACAGAAGAAGTGAAGATAGGCAACAAGATGATGAAGGCACGGCAGTATCCTTGGGGCACTGTGCAGGTTGAAAACGAGGCCCACTGTGACTTTGTGAAGCTGCGGGAGATGCTGATTCGGGTCAACATGGAGGATCTGCGGGAGCAGACCCACACCCGGCACTATGAGCTGCACCGCCGCTGTAAGCTGGAGGAGATGGGCTTCAAGGACACGGACCCTGACAACAAACCATTCAGCTTGCAGGAGACATATGAGGCCAAAAGGAATGAGTTCCTAGGGGAGCTCCAGAAAAAAGAAGAGGAGATGAGACAGATGTTCGTCCAGAGAGTCAAAGAGAAAGAAGCAGAACTCAAAGAGGCAGAGAAAGAGCTGCATGAGAAGTTTGATCGCCTGAAGAAACTGCACCAGGATGAGAAGAAGAAGCTGGAGGATAAGAAGAAATCTCTGGACGATGAAGTAAATGCTTTTAAACAGAGAAAGACAGCAGCCGAGCTGCTCCAGTCCCAGGGTCCCCAGGCTGGAGGCTCACAGACTCTGAAGAGAGACAAAGAAAAGAAAAATTAACCCTGCTGTTTGCTGCATGCTGCATGAGACCCAGGGTCCTGGTAAGCTTCGTTAACTCTAAATAGAACTGGCTGTGGCTTCCAGAAAATACCTTCCTTCAATCTCACACTCCCAACACATGTATCTAATTATAAAAGAAGCTGTTTCATTGGTAAAAAAAAAAAAAAGAATGTTTAGATCCTGTTTCTGGCACATATTGTCAAATCAGTACACATTAGCTGTTACTATTGTTGTAGGGATTCAGTCAATCAATATTAACCACTTCAGGACCATGCTCACCAGCCACAAAACCTTGCCCACAGCCAACACTCGAAGTCCGCACGACAGCTTGTGCTGTGCATTGACGACAAATCCATTTTGCTCTTGTGTGATGAGGAAAGCTTTAAAGCACTGAAAGTTTGTTTTACTTTACAGGCAGCTTTACTTATAATGTAAATCAGAATAGGTAACATATACATATATGTTTTCATTACAGTATTTTTAAATGTTCACAATTTTATTTTGATAAAAAAATTAGAAAAGTCATATCATGGCTGTCAGCTAAAGTCGACGCTTGGCTGTGTGCCTTCATATCATGGCTGTAGGCTAAAGTCACTGTGCGTGTTCATCTGTGGCTGTCAACTACAGTCAACGCTGGTCCTGAAGTGGTTAAATACATGTACAAGGTTGAAAGTAAGTCTAAGGAGTTATCTGTGGGGAGTTAACTACGCTCCCAGCAAACATCAGGTCCCTTTGGCAGGGGTCATCACAAAGGATAAGGAAAATAAAGAAAACAGAAAATAATAGAACATAGAAATAAAAGAATACACAGAGATGACAGTACAGTTTTATAAAGTATAGATTTTTATAATAGTTGAGAGATCGGGAGACCTCCAGCATTCCCGTGAGCTGTGAGGCCCTGAGTGAAGTTTCACATCAGTATTTATTGGTACAGTGATCGGTTGCCAGGGATAACAGATTTACATAGTAACAGGTAGTTCGTTTTAGGTTAAGTCTCCCAAAAGCTTCTAGAGATCCCTTGATTAACTCTATCTACATGAGCAAACTGTTACAAAATCTTTCTAAGACAAACTTCTAAGTTCTAAGATAAAGCTATCACTTAGCAGAAAGGCTAAACAGAAATACAGTGGCTCTATATTTCGTTATCTAGTTTTTGTTGATTGAGACAGGTAGTCAGGAGTGAAGCAGGAACTGTCTCTTAGGCCAACTGCTTTTAGCGGCAGGCGTCTGTCTGTCAGGCGGGCACTCTTTGATCAGTTCTTATCCTGTGGCTTCATGCATGCCAAGCTTTGTCATACAAAACAGGCAAAAGCCCACAGGTTTAAGACACAGTGCGACCTTGGAAATCAGCTGCAACTGATCTGAGATGCCTTCCTGAGGCGAGGCAATTTTAAGAGTTAATAAATTCACACTTTTAATTGCTTCACAGGGACATTAGGTAAAGCTGGAATTTTGTTTTATTGTGACTATGTGGTAGTGAAGAATACAATGATTAAGCATGAACTTCTTTCAGTTTTTCACAATAATCACTGCAAAGTGATCCCAATGGGCAAAGCTCCACAAGGGCATGAATGGACTTTGGGGAAGATCCTGTTGGCTCTACCTTTTAAACTTAACCAGGATCCTCCTACTTCTCATCACTTCCACTGCTACCATTCTGGCCAAGCCACCATCATCTTTCACTTATTACTATAATAGCCTCTTCACTCTTTATCACTTTCCCCCTTCACTGTTTTAATTTTCTTCATGGCACTTCTCTCTCCTAATATAGTATGTTTACTTAATTGGTTAGTGTCTGTCTCCCCTTACTAGAATACAAGCTACATGACCACAATGGCTTTGTTTTGTTCATTCCTGTATCCTGGGCTCTAAAAACAGTGTCTGAAACATACTAGGTATTGAAAAGAAAGTATCTTTTGACTAAATTAATGAGGTCAGAAATTTCATTAGTGAGGACTACAGGAGGAAGAGTCAGGAATTTTAGTGGGAAGTCATAAACTGGCCTATTGCAAAGAATTGTTATGGGAGACCTAAAAATGTTACATACTTTCTCCCTCTTATTTTGAAATGGCCCCAGAGAAGTAGAGGCTGTAACTGCTTCCAGTAGTTGAGTTCAGGGGCAAAACCCCTAAATGTTTTAAAAGAAAAACTGCTTAAGTTTCACCTAAATCCTTCAAGCTGGAAAGTTTTTTGCCTAATAATGACGCAGGCCAAATCATGACTCATACTGGTCACATAATAGCCTCCTGTTCAGTTGCTCTTTTCATTTTCTTAGATGCTAAAAGGATAAAGAATCAGGAACATCTACTTAAAACTCCCCTCCTGCAGAAATTCCCCTGCTCATAATTTTACCAATTTTATGTTGATAAAACTAGTCCCAAAATTCTTTAAAGAGTTGAGATTTTTAGTCTACATGATGTAGGCTATCCAAAGAAACATGTTCTTTGCTGCTCATTGAAAATTCAACTTATCCCTCAACTGGGGATAATAAACTAAGATGGGAAAAGGTGGGAGACTGTGGTATGGAATAAGTTTCTTTAGGACATGGAGACAGGATAAATGAGACGAGTTTACTGTGCTGTAGATTCCCTAAATGTTTTTGTGTTCTGTTATCCCGTGAATAGAAACTGAAAAAGTTAGGGCTTTGAGTAATTCTAGTTAGTGTTGTCACACTCCATTTCTCACAGTTCACAATGTTTCATTTTTCCTTAAAGTTTAATACAATTTTCAGCTTGAAAAAGATTTTAATACTGCTTGCCTACAATAATGAAAGTATATCTCATTAGATGTTATGGAATATATAAATTTAATCACTTCCGAAACTCAGTCCTATCTATTTTTTCTCCACTTTTTATTCATACCTTTTCCAGCTGTATCCTGAAACAGACTTTCAATATACCTCAGGCCTGGATTACAACCAGGGCTTCCCCAACTACCATCAGTCAGTCCATACAATCTAGGTTAATTTTCTTTCAAAACTGCTTTCACATAATTCCCCTGCTCAAAAGCCTACAATGCTTTCCTATTTCTTATCACATTTAGATATCATATATATAAACTCTTCTGCCTAGCTTTTAGCTATAATATGGCTCTGTCCTTCCCATCCAAGTTGATTTTGTACTCTTCCTTAACCAACAGGCCCCCTTTACCTAAGATAACTGTGGAATTCCTTTGCCCTGAGGGAAAAGTTGAAGAAACAAGGAAAAGACAAAGAGGCACTGACATCCCTAGCATCAAAAGTTTATTAACAATTGAAGTTAAGGAATATTTTTTAGTGCATGCTGAGAAAACAGCAATACTCCAAACTTACAGGTTACTTACTATCTGATAAGCAATACAAGATGATGCTGAGAAAGGTTTTGGCATACACAACTATTGGAAACAGGTCATCAGAACACTTAAACATTATTAGAATCTTGTTATCAGAACACTGACATGTCACCAACTTTTTATGTTACAACAATTTCATGAACAATTCATCTTCTAACTCCTCAATGGCTATTTAAGCAAATAGTATTCAAGGTTAAACATTGATAATGGGGAGCAGAGAAGAAAAACATGAAGAAATACACAAATGGTAAGTATCACAACATTTCAGAGCCTACATACATGAATACAACATTAAGAAACAGTGTTTTTGTTGTGTAACAATATTCATCACCGTCTAACGCATGAGAAGACACTGCTTTGGTCCATCCACTCTTTCCAGCTTTTCAAAATGTTTCCTGGCATTGCGAATGTTGATCAGAGTAGCTGCAGAAGCTGAGGGAGTGGGTGGGGAGACACCAACAAAAATAAGTATGGGCAGCCAAAAGAATGCCTGACTAATAAAAACAAATAAACAGAAGAGAGCCAAATCCCTCAATGTATGTCACAGAAAACATACAGGTACCAAGTTAACAAGATTTAATTTTTCTGAATAAGCAGAAGATTTGTTCATATTCTAAACACAAAATTTCCAAAATACATTTCCGAAATCTTTTGGTTTGGAGCTAATAACATAAAACCCATGATCTTATGTTATATTTTAATTATAACCTAAAGTAGGAAAAGACAGTGAGAAATAATTTAAACTTCTGGGACCATTCTCAAAATACTGCAAGAGCCTTTATTTCAATGGTTGGGTAGCCATGAAATCGTATAGAAGCACCAAACACTTTCTTTCATGCCCATAACAGAAATATGGAAATCTGGTACACAGGAATATGCAATGACATATAAAATGGTTCAGCATTTAATAGTTTAGAGTTTATATTGACTAGTCTTTTTTATTTTATTTCAGGATAGTATGGGGGTACAAACATTTTGGTTACATGTTAGGACTCTGCCTCACCCAAGCCAGGATTAGGGGCGTGCCCTTCTCCCATACAAGGCTCACCACGTCCATTGGTTGTGAGTTAAAAATATATATTATATGAAGCACAAATCATGGATTTGGTTTCTCTTTTCTTTAAAATTCTTGGATTTAGTAACTTGCTTTCTAAAGTTGCCATGAGGAGAAACATAATACCCTAGAGACCAAATTATTTTTAAGCTTCAAAATATAGGTCTATTAAATAAAAAAACTATTTACTACTAGTACTAAAACAATTTTTTTACTTTGGTAAAATGTATATAACATAAAATTTAACATTTCTAAGCATATAGTTCAGTAGGATTAAGTACCTTCACATTGTGCAATCATCCCTACCACAAAATAGTTTTTAACTACCTAATAAAGTACTACCTCTAGGGTAACAGTTTAAAGAATATGTGGCTTGGAACCTACGTCAGCTAAGTTTAAACTTACGAATGGATGGATCAGACATCACGACCATCACATAAGTGTTAGATGTAAAGATGTCAATGAAAGCGGCAAAGTTAGAGTTCCTGACTTCCATACTCTGGAAAGAGGCAGCCAGTTTGCTAGAGGAGAAAGGAGAAAAAATGGTTCAAGAATGTAAACTAATAACAATATAAGAGGCTCTTATCTTTTATGTTAAACATTTTCATAGCATTAAACCTCAATTCAGCACTTCATTAGGATGTTTAATCACTAACCCCATTTTGTTTTCCAAGGAAACTCTAATACTAAATTTAACATGTTTTGGAAAGTAAGTAGGATGGAAAGTGGGTTAGAACTTGATATAGACTATGAAATAAAAATGACTTTAGATGTAGATTCATG